GGGGGAAAATGAGCTGATGCCAGGGGCTTACATGGAGAGCAAATGTTTTGAGAATGATGAGGGTAACAAATGTACAAATGTGCTTTATAAAATTGATGTATGTATGGATTGTGATAAGAGTTGTATGAGCCCTCAATAAAATGATTAAAAATAATAATAATAATAATTTTATGGTTGGGGGTCACCACAACACAAGGATGGGTATTAAAGGGTCGCGGCATTAGGAAGGTTGAGAACCACTTCTCTACAAGCCAATAGAAGAGCTGTCTCATGGGATTTCTGGAGGCATCATCTTCCCCAGAGCACAGCACCCCAGCGCTTAACCCACTGTGTCAACTGAAGGCCTAACCTCTCCCAGAGGTAAGCATTCAACTTTCTATCAACTCCCTTCCTTCTAAAGTCGGCACAAAACTTTCTGGGCTTCATTCAGATCTTTATGAGTTTCTTCATCTCTGAATGGGAATAATAAAAATGAGTAATAATAAAACCTACGTTTTGGAGTACCTGGGTGGCACAAAGATGAAGTGCTCAACTAATTGCTAAAAGTTGGCTTTTTGAACCAACTTAGTTGGGAGCCCTGGTGGCCAACTAGGGTCCACAGTCCGACGTCATTCTGAGTGAGAATGATGGGGCCTTCTACTCCCATAAAGAGACGCCCCCTTGGAAACTCACAGGGGCAGTTCTACCCTCTCCTGTCGGGTTGCTATGAATCAGCATCAACTAGATGGCAGGGAAACTTTTGTTTGTTTGTTTGAGAGCCCTCGTGGTTTGGTGGGTTATGTATCGTGCTGCTTACTGCAAGATCAGCAGTTCAAACAGACCACCACGGAGGGGAAAAGATGACAGACATCTGTTCTAAAACTGTGTACGGCCCCGGATACCCACAGGGGTAGTTCGACTCTGTACAGAGGCCATAGGGGTCAGTAGTGACTCGATGGCATGGGTTTGGTGGTTTTGCTTTGGGGTTTTTTGGTTATTTTATTTACTTATTTTTTAGAGTGATGCCTCAAAAGACAGGCCTGGTGAACTGTGAAAGCCGTGAAAACCCTGTGGCGTGCGCCGTGAGCAACTAACAATATTAGAGTCGGTTTAGGATTAAATTACAATTATCTATACTTGAAAATGTATAGGATACTGTAAAACAATTACAAGTAGATGTTTATCATTTCTCAAGATAATATTTAGAATTGAGTTCTTAGCTGCTTATCTTTCAGGAAAGGGGTTGATGTGAGAGGTTACCAGAAAAAGCCCTCTGGGACTTCAGCTCAATTCACCCTAAAGACTTTGTGCAAAGTCTTTTGTTTTCCCAAGGCCTTTGAACCGAAAAAGTAGTGTCTGGGCATGTTGGCCTGCGGAGTTTCCACCCTCCCACCGCCTCCATCCACCCCACCTTGTCACGATTCTGTGTGGATTAGCGCACTGCTCCTAACCGCCTAGCTGCGGTAGGCGCTCTAGCCTGACAAGGCTTGGGGAAGCTAACACTGGAGAAGTGGGAGTTTTAACAGATTTGCCGCTGACCTAATCTGGAAAGTCCCCTAAGCAGGCCCCATCGCTTCGCGGTGACCCGCCCTCCGCTGGTGGGCCCGTGTGCGGAGCCCAGTAGGTGACGGTTTCCTGACAGGAAGAGCTATGTGCCTTTAGGGCAGTTCTGGAAGCCTCCGTGTAGGGGAAACGAAAGGGTCTTGCAATTCGGTTTCTCCAGCATTCCAGAACTCTGCGTTCTGCTAGACGAGACCGGAAGGCTAGAACAACCTTCCGGCGATTTGAGAAAGCTCTAAGATCGCTTTAAGTCAGAATCGACTCGACTGCAGTGAGCTTGGTTTGGGTTTTTAGGGCAACAAGTGGAAGTGCATTGGGCCGATCTGGCCTGGGCCTCGGGTCTGCACGGAAGAGGCACGGGAATCCGGTCCAGTCGCTGCGCTCCCACCTGCATCAGGGGCCTTCTCCTGCTTCCGTGAATGAAAAATATCCAGACACTCAGCCTGGCCCCTCACCAAAAGGCAGGCGTGATGTTTCAGTTGCAGCCCGCTAGAGAAAATAGGCTCTATCGCTTCGAGTTAAAAAACAAAAATGCGATTAGAATGAATCATGACGAGAAATGCCATCCATAAATGCCATCCAGGAAATTGGATGAGGACAGTTAAAGGGAAGACAAACTGAATTGCGCTTAGACAGTTGAATAAAAATCTGCTTGTGTGCACCTAGGCAAAAACGCAGGCACCAGGGTCAAAATACACTCCAGTAACCAGACCGAGCCCGCCCACCGTTCAAGTACGAACGGCCTTTACTGCGCTTGCGCCAAAAGCAGTTTCTCGCCCCCC